CTTGCACTCCTTAAATGGAAGAGAATTTTGTACCTTGAAGATTTCTTTCTTTATACCTTCCTCCTCTTGAATTCGGGCGAGTTCTTCTTCTAGGGAAATACACTGCTCTTGGTACATGGTAGATAGCTGTTTCTCTTGTACTAACTTTTCCTTCAGGGTCTGCAAGCCAAAGAGTGGGGGAAAGGGGGCACCCCGCAAAACATTAATATCTGTTCTACAGTATAGATAATTCAAATAGCACTTAGGTTAAAAAAGAGAGAGAAGAGAAAGATAAACTTGCAGAAACACACAATGAATAAAGAAGCCAGACAGCAGAAAATCTGTCTGGGGACTACTTCTTAGGCCGTTTTCGAAAGTAGGCACGGCAAAAGTTATTTCAAATAAAACATGCTTGGCCCTGTGAAGAGTCATCTGGTGGAGCTAGAATCTGTCTCCAGTAAGTTACCACCTCACGTTTTGGGGGCACATTTCTGAAGCTCTTGTTTAAAAAGGAAGAGACATCAACAGCAGCACTTGCTATTCCTGTTCTACTGGGCAGCCAGAATGATCTTCTAGAACCCTAAAGTCGCATCATGCTACTTCGCTGTCCACATTCCTCACCATCACCTGTGAGGCCCACCGACTGGCTCCTGCTGACCTCCGCCCACTTCCTCCTCCTCCTCGCTTGTTCCTCCACAACCCCGCCGCCCTGCCTATGCTTTCCACAGACTCCAGGGCCTTTGCACTTGGCCCTTCCCCCAAGTCCCCAGGTGTTTGTTTGGTTTTTCGTTTGTACTAGAAGCTTTCTCAAAGCGATTTTATTAGTTTATTTGTAACCTACGACACTTCAGTTCTTTGCTGCCATATCTTATCCCAGGTCCAGGAATCTGTCACCGAGGAGGGTGGGTTAGAGAGCAAGAAAAGGCTTCTGAATCTTTAACCTGTCTTTGCACTGACGGGAGCAAGCCTCTCGTCAACATGCCTCACAACTTCCGGGGCGGGAAGACCTGGCTGCCGGGTGTCAGGAAGCAGAGCTCTTCCAGGTGAGGGCATTGCCAGAAATGGACGTCAACAGAGTCTAAGTTCATTCTCCAAACCAAACAACTTGGACTTCAGGGTCTTCAGTTCTCCTTGTATCTTACGTGCCCGTCGATTGCTGTCCCGGACCTCACACAGAATGGCAAGGTCCTGATTAGCCTGGGTACTCAGTGTTGTCTGGAAGTTTGAGAAGAAGGAAAAATGAGGATGACATTTGTGAGAAAGAGGAAGAGAATCAGTCATAAAGACCAGGCTCTGCTGGTCTGTTTCTAGAAATTTTTCTTAAAAAAATACCGTAATTAAAAATTTTGAGTCAGGTGGGGGTTTACATTTCAATTTGGTGTTCAACAATTTAAACTACTTATGACCCCTAAAAGCGTGCCCTACTTGCCCCTTTTGATTATTCTCCCCCTGTTGTGGACTGCTATCGTGTCCTTCACGCAGCTAACAGCTGTCTACCCTCTGCTCTACTGCTTCCTCGTCCCCTCTTGGGAACCATCAAACTGTTTCTTTTGGTAAGAAAACCTGTGCTTTGGGTTTTTCTTTCCCACAGTGGTCTCGTACACGATCTGTCCTTTTGTGATGGGCTGATTTCACTTGCCTGCTGGTCTGCTTTCAGGAACGCTACTTTGTTGGAGTCCAGTGACTAGCTGAAGGGGAAACATTGAACTTAAGCAGAAAAGGCTGCTTAGTTTCTCACACAATAGAAAGGGGACCTTGAAATAGTGATCACTCACCGCCCACAAAGGGTGAAAGAAGAAACCAGTTGTAAAACATGCAATTGGTACATTTGCTAAAGATGGAATGAGAACACCTCTTTTTTCCTATAATTCACCTTGTTTGGGATTCTGTGATCATTTAGGGTAGGAGTCCTCAAACTACACATGTATCCGGCCTGCAGGGTGTTTTTGCCCTGGTTGGTTTTTTACTTCAAAATAAGATATGTGCAGTGTGCATAGGAATTTGTTCATAGTTTTTTTAAACTACAGTCCGGCCCTCCGATGGGTCTGAGGGACTGTTTAAAGGGTGAGGACCCCTGATTTAGGGTATGTGGGTGACTGTTAAATCTCCTTAAGGCTCTCGAGGCAACCTGGTTTCTAAATAAAGCTGTGTCTGATTGAGGAAAACAGCTTTATAACTCACTCACTCACTTTCCTCATTTGTAAAACAGACAGGATTCTTCTAATCTGCTTCTTGAATTGGGAGGGATGACAATTTCTGCTACTTTTAGTTTAGATACAAGAACAATGATATCGACGTTTAATGATTTCTGTTTTGTTTCCCTTCTCGAGTGTGTAACTGTTAAACGGATTCTCGTGCAGCTCTCGGGAGTTCATCCAGTGAGCTGTACAATCACCAGGGAAACGGCACTTTCTTCTTCTGGAGAGTCCTAAGGACTATATTTCTGCACTTCTTTCCTGCCTTTTCGGCAGAAGGTTACCTTATACAGAAGTTGCTCCAAGTCTTTAAGTTTCTGTCGGAGAGCCTTAATGTCTGTTTTGAAGCCTTCTACTTCCAACAAACGTCGGTTCTCCAAGGCCTCATAGCGCTTTGTCATCACCTGTAAGCGCTTCCCCATCTTGTTAGTGCGATCCTAAACGCGAGGAATGAGACGGCTCTTAGGACGATGAGGGAAGTTTTCCCCTGAGCTATGGACACCTTGCACTCCTTAAATGGAAGAGAATTTTGTACCTTGAAGATTTCTTTCTTTATACCTTCCTCCTCTTGAATTCGGGCGAGTTCTTCTTCTAGGGAAATACACTGCTCTTGGTACATGGTAGATAGCTGTTTCTCTTGTACTAACTTTTCCTTCAGGGTCTGCAAGCCAAAGAGTGGGGGAAAGGGGGCACCCCGCAAAACATTAATATCTGTTCTACAGTATAGATAATTCAAATAGCACTTAGGTTAAAAAAGAGAGAGAAGAGAAAGATAAACTTGCAGAAACACACAATGAATAAAGAAGCCAGACAGCAGAAAATCTGTCTGGGGACTACTTCTTAGGCCGTTTTCGAAAGTAGGCACGGCAAAAGTTATTTCAAATAAAACATGCTTGGCCCTGTGAAGAGTCATCTGGTGGAGCTAGAATCTGTCTCCAGTAAGTTACCACCTCACGTTTTGGGGGCACATTTCTGAAGCTCTTGTTTAAAAAGGAAGAGACATCAACAGCAGCACTTGCTATTCCTGTTCTACTGGGCAGCCAGAATGATCTTCTAGAACCCTAAAGTCGCATCATGCTACTTCGCTGTCCACATTCCTCACCATCACCTGTGAGGCCCACCGACTGGCTCCTGCTGACCTCCGCCCACTTCCTCCTCCTCCTCGCTTGTTCCTCCACAACCCCGCCGCCCTGCCTATGCTTTCCACAGACTCCAGGGCCTTTGCACTTGGCCCTTCCCCCAAGTCCCCAGGTGTTTGTTTGGTTTTTCGTTTGTACTAGAAGCTTTCTCAAAGCGATTTTATTAGTTTATTTGTAACCTACGACACTTCAGTTCTTTGCTGCCATATCTTATCCCAGGTCCAGGAATCTGTCACCGAGCATGCAATGAGCTCCTACAGTTTCACTGGTGCTCAGCTTCTTTACAGTTTCTTTCAAGCCATTTAGGACAACTTAATGGTGCATTGCTGTAGTTTGCAGGTTAAGTTTAAGGTCTCGGCAAAAACCCCGCTCTCCAGGTTCAAGAGAGCTTCCCTGTTCTTCTCTCTAAAACGTGCCTTCTAGGACTCTTGCTTCATATAATCTTGTGTTCTTGTGCTACAACGTGTTGGTAACCTGTGAGTGTCTTCACAAGTATCTGATCATGTAGAACACGCGTTCTACCCTGGTATACAGCAGGACCCAAGTGGGCCAGCCTAGGCTGCCTGTCTTCCATCTTACCCACGGTGAACAGGGGCCTAGCAAAATGTAAACTCTGTGATGGCAAACCTTGTGTAGCCTGTTTCTGCCATAGCCTAACAGCCTACCTCACACAAAGGTTGCAATAAACACTAGTTGGATGAATTAAGTCTAATTTTTGAACACCCGCCACACACTATGATTATTTAAAACCCACTGCTTGTGTTGCTGCTACGAAAGTTTCTGGGAATGAATGCGTCTGGCTATGACAATTCCTAGATTCCTTGGCACTCTCTGAGTCCTTTCAACTCTTCCAGAAAAAGACACAATTTCTCTAAGATGTAAAGGAGCTACCTTAATGTATTCGTTTTGGTTGTGACGGCTCTGGTGTACAACTGGACAACCTTTCCCAGTCTTCTCGTCTTTCTTCTGACACTGCAGCCTGTACTGCTTAATCTTCGACTCCAGACAGTCCTTTTCAACCATCCAGCACTTCTCCTTACGCTGGTTCTCACCTCTGAGCTGCAGGAAGTCTTTGGTGCTCTCATAGAGCAGTGCTTGGGTGTGATGGAGACTAGGAGAGAAAACAGAGATGTGAGCGCCAAGATGCAGACACACACGTCTGATGCACTGCGTGGTCATTCCTCACCAAGGGAGGCGCGAGAGTCCCCTAAGTGTGTACTGTATAAGCTCTATTAGCACTAGCCATTTAGAACTATAGAGTGTCTGGTCACTGTCAATCTTACAGGTGTTACTAAACAAAGTAGAGCATTATCTACCCAGGAAAACTGGTTCAATGCAGGGACTTCAAAAGGGGTTATGGGAAATTTTCATTATCTTTTTAATTCCAATTCCCACGAACAATTTTAAACTCTATTATAGAGTCATCTTTGCAGATCTTATCCCATGTACCCATTTCAGATTATGTAATTACAATGACTACGAAAATACTTAGGTCCCTGGTAGTGTTACAGGGTGGGCTGCTAATGGCAAGGTCGGCAGTTTGAAACCACCAGTTGCTCTGAGGGAGAAAGAGGAGGCAGTTCTGCTCTGTACCACAGGGTTGCTGTGAGCCAGGACTCAATGATGGTCACAGAAATACCACACCCAATAACCGAAGGAGGGATGTGTGGGCCCCAACCAGGAAGTAGACTGCTAGAGAGAACGACATTGTGGGGTAAAGCTGGAGGGTTCACACTAGTTCTACAAGGCCAAAAAACAGCTTTGCTCTGGCTCGTGCTGTGCTCCCCTCTGGATCCAATCTTCATCTCCTCCTTTCTCAAGGTCAGCGTCTTCTGTAAGTCATCCTGACAGCTTCCGCCTGGTTTCTGTTCTCTGAAACGCTCTGTCCATTATAATCACAGAATTTAAACTCGCCTACAGCCTACGTCATGCTTTAACTGTCAGCATATATGTTTTCCTTCCTGACTGAGGTATAGACCTTCCTTTTTATATATTTTTGCCCCATTATCATCAGACTGTCAAGGACAGTACCAGCTACTGGGATACAGAAGGCATTACATAGATGCCAGTGGACTGCTTCTTAAGATTTAGGAATAGACAAATGATGTCCCTGTTTTCAAAAAAGGATATGCCTAGAAGTTAGAAGCTTATTGTTTAACATCAATACCTAGAAAACTAAGGTATCAAATGATCAAATTGCTTGCAAGCTTATTATAAACCATGAAGCAATCTCTATAGGTTCCCAAAGAGCAAGTAACGTCAGGCACTCTAGGTTCTTTCGTAAGTCACAGAATGCATAGATAAGCGGGAAATGACAGCATAATGCCTGGCACAAAGTAGAGTAAAATGTCAGTGGGTGAATATATAGATTTATTCAGGTGTCTGTACACAAAGGAGAGAAAGACCGATTTAGTTACCACAAAGCTAGCTCCTGTTTTCAACGAGGTACCTTATACTGTCTTGCATTATGCTCCTGATTACAATCTGGGGAGTGAGGCCTAGTTAACCTACACATGGCTTGAAGGTGACACACAGGGCTAATGGCCTTGGGTTGAATGGCATTCAATACCCTTACTGTGACCGACCTAATGGAAGGCACAGGTCATGTGCTCAAATATGCAGATGGTGCTAAATTAGGATACATTAGGACTGTGGAAGACAAATAAATTTGCAATTTACCAAGAGAATGTAAATTACTGCTCCATAAAAACATTTACGATCTAATGAAAAGTTAAGATGCTGTGTTTAAGTATAAAATGCCAAAAATGAAAATGAAGATGGACAAGTACCAGCAAAAGATAAACATTTCACACTAAGCATAAGGTCCAGGATACATCTTCTACCCTGCTTTGGTCATCGGTCCTAGGTTGAGTATCGTGTCCAATTTTAATCACTGTACTTTAAAATGGAGGTGAAGATTTCAATGTTTGAGAAGGCATTGACAAAAAATGACAAAGAGATGATAACTGATGTGAAAAATATCTTTAAATTTACAGTTTCAGATCCAACAAGAGGCACCCAAAAAAAAAAAAAAAAAAAGAGGCATTGAGATAGAACTTGATAAAGATCACCAAGTATTCAACAAATGCTTATTGTGTGCCTATGCTACCTGCAGGGCCAGGCAGAGGCTAGAGTATGCCCCTGGGAACAAAGATAGACTTATTACACAGTGATTAGCGTCACCAAGGAGGCGCCTAATCATTATGGGAATGTGAAGGACAAAGAACTTAATTCTGCCTGGGAAAGTCTTCAGATTAGGGGGGGCAGTGTTGAGCATGGTGCCTGCCACAGAGCAAGTATTTCATAAGCAACAGCTCTTTGTCTGGCCGAAGCACAAGGTGAACGGCACGACAGGTGAGGAGTAAGGCTGAAAAGGTCAATTTGGTGCTAGGTGATGCAAACTCAGCACAACTAAACCCACTGTCATCAGTGGGTCCTGACGCACACGGAGCCCACAGGGCAGAGTAGAATTGGAAATCATTACGGAAGCAAACCGGCTCTATCTTTGTTCCACAGAGCAGCTGATAGTTCAAGGCACCAACCTCTTGATTAGGAACCCAACAGATAACCCACTGAGCCACCTGATGATGAAGCGCCTAATAATTCAAGTTCAGGTGTGAGGACTTTAGCATAAAGTACACCGGGAGCTGTCAAATATTTTTAAGCTGTTAGTAATTCCTTGTCAAGGAGCTGACTCAAGGCAGTAAGAAACACTGTAGAAGACAAAGAAGCCAGAATTAAGCAGGACAGTTAGATTACTGCAATAGAATTTAAACAAAAGAATAGAGCAGTGGTTTGCCACCTGTGGGTTGCGACCCACCCCTTTGGGGGTTGCCCAATTCATAACAGTAGCAAAATTATGGTAATGAAGTAGCAACGAAAGTAATTTTATGGTTAGGGAGGTCACCACAACATAAAGGGTCGCGGAATTAGGAAGGTTGAGAACCACCGAAATAGAGCTTGGACTTGAATGTAGCAAGCAGAGAATGGGTCTGAGAGGCTTCTAGGCACACACTTAGGGGTCCTCAAACTACAGCCCGCGGGCCCCATGTGGCCCACCGAGGCTATTTATCCAGGCCGCTGGATGTTTTTGCCCCGTTTTGTTTTTTACTTCAAAATAAGATATGTGCAGTGTGCATAGGAATTTGTTCATAGTTTTTTTTTAAAAACTATAGTCCAGCCCTTTAATGGGTCTGAGGGACAGTGAACTGGCTACCTGTTTAAAAAGTTTGAGGACCCCTGCTCAAGAGAGTTGAGAATTGGGGGGATAAGAGAGAGTGGGAAGCTGAGGACGATCCTGAGGTTTGGAGGTTGGGAGGCTGGGTAGATGCGATGTCATTAAATGGTAAATAGAAGAAAGTAAATTTGAGACGGGAAGAATGGCATGTTTGCTGGGACAGAGAAACAATTTGATCACAGCCATGGCTGATGTGAGGTATTCTGAGATATTCAACTCCTGGTGTCTCCAGCACAGGTCTGACAGGGGAACCAGCTGAAAGGCTGAGGCGGGTTAGAGAGGCAGAGGAACCAAGAGAGACAATGGTGCAAGAATTTTTAAAGATTAATTTAAAAGAGGGAGTGATCAGTGTGTCAGATACAGAGATACTAATTACAAGAAGGACCAAAAAGATCTAACTGGTCTTAAAAAGCAAGAAGTTAATGATGTCGAAATGTGACATCTTGTCCATGCTCTCTCTCTGACCCAATGTATAATTGGTCCAGTTTTAATATTTTCTGCTTGCTATCAATCTGAGGTTTTTCTGTTTCATTGTATCATTTTGGGGGGTGTTTCCCCCATTGTATCACTGTTGTTGGGCTGTTTGCATTGTCTTCATGCTGTATGATTTTCTACATATGAAACCTAGATGAGGTAAGCCTATCGAGTCAACAAATGGATCAACAGATTTTTAGAGGGACATGTTTATGTGAATTGTATGTAGGTGAAGATGTTAACAAATAAACAAACTTATATACAAAGAAGAAATTAATGATGAGCTTGGAAAAGGCATATTTAATAAAATGACAGGGAGAAATCACAAAAAGATGAGAAATGAATGGTAGCCAGGTAAAAAACAAAAGTAGTGGTTTAAGGGCATTTGCATGTTTATTGTTATTGTTGTTGTGCAGGGATATAGTCATATTTTTGCATATTCATGAGAATCAAACAAAACAAGAGAGACCTACTACACTAAGAAACATAATATGCCAGTGGATTAAAGAACAGGTCTTAGCCTCCAGAATCAGGCTAAAACACTAAAATGGGTTTTCAAGAAAAGACGTACTAGCTCTCTTGGATAGAACCTGGACACTCTTTGGAAAGGCCCTTCCAGGTCTTCACCACTATGCGGCTTGAGTCCAGGACTGTGAGCTTCGTGCCCAGTGACACTGTAACGCTTCTCATGGTGCCAGCTTCCTCGTGGTTTCCATTCTGGTTGTTCTGGGTGCAATAATTTAGGTTCTCTGCCTCCTGCATTTCATCTTTGCTTCTGCGTAAATGTTGATAGTTTGGTCTCCTATAGATGATGTTTTAAAAGAGCCAAGTACTCATGGATAGGACTGCTTCTTTCATGACCCAATCTGTTATTGAAATAGCATCTCATGGAACAGTTTTGGTTCAAAGTTAAAAGAGTATCTTAGAGTGATAGTGGCAAGGAGTCCTCCAGCCTCAACTGAAGTATGCATATGAGGATGGGGAAATAGATCTATGTGCATATATTTATAGGTTTAGTATTAAGGTAGCAGATGGACATTGGGCCTTGGAAGACAAATAAATTTGCAATTTACCAAGAGA